ACCACTAGCTTGACGGTGATGATGGGCTTGATGCGTGATTGACGGTGCAGTGGTCGGAGATTTGCTCAGGGTGGGGGAACGTTGGCTAGTCACCGGTGGCTAGCAGGGCAGAGGCTGAACATGCAGGGGGCAGGGGGTTTTATTTTAAAAAAATTAATCAAAACATATTTTTTTAAAAAATTAAATATTTAATGTTTAGACAAATTACATAATGACACGTGTCAAAGGTAACCGATTCAGCAAGTTACGAGTTTTTTTGCCTGTTTAAAATGAATACCCCCTAAGGTTGTAACATTAATTTATAATCCAAATGTTGTATTATTAAAAAAGAACGTACCAAAGGTTGTATTAATTTTTGCAATTTTTCCTTATATATATTATTTTTGTAAAATTATTAATTTGCCTAGAAACTCTATTTTTGATAATTTATTGTTATAATTAACTTTTGAGTTACATTTTTCTAGATACTTTTACATTTGAATTTCAAATTTCAATTTTGAAAAATAGAGCATGGCTTGGGAAATATCTAGTTAAACAACAAATTACAAACCTATCCTTTAATTAAATCAATAATTAAGAATTATCTCAAATATTTTTTGAAGACATAATCATATTTCTACTTAATATATGCAAGTTTGGCACTAACGTGGTACTCGAAAATTTAGTCAAATGATAAAAAGCAGTACGAAGCCAATGAACAATTAAGTTCCTAAAAAAAAAAAAAAAAAGGAATGAACAATAGCAATTAAAGAGCAATAGGATGATTAGCTATTAATAAAAGGCAGCAACAGTTGGAACAACTCTGAAATTTAAAAGAAGTTGTGGATGATGAAAAGGAAGTTTGGCGTATTATATGGAAGTTGGGTGGCCCTCCGAAACTTATCCATTTCTTGTGGCGAATGTGCAAAGGGCGGGTTGCGGTCAAGCAAGAGCTCTTTCAAAGACATATCTTAGGGGATGAGCCGTGTGGGGAGTGTGACGGTGAAGTTGAATCAATCATCCATGTGCTTTTTGATTGTGATGCAACAAAGGGTGTCTGGAATACTAGCCCTTTTCGATCTATTTTGAATGATTCTCCTAATTCTTTATTTCGCTCAAAGCTAGTCTGGCTTGCAGGTAAGTTAGATCGGCATGAATTGCGTGTATTATGTGCCATGGCTTGGTTGCTTTGGTTTCAGAGGAACAAGGGGGTTCATGAGGGCTTGTCTCTTAATGCTTCTTACATGGCAGCGGACTATGTAAAGCTCGTTGAGGACTATTGTATGTATGCCAAGAAAGTGTTGTCAGGCCAACCACGAAGTTCAAAGTTGTCGTCAACGACTTGGATTTGTCCCTCAGAAGGTTTTATAAAAGTAAATGTTGATGCTCATCTAACTAATTCCTATATGGGATTGGGAGCAGTAGCGAGAAACCATCGAGGGGAGACTGTATGGGCGGCGGTTAAACAAGCTGAGAGCGTGTGGGAAGTGGAGTGTGCTGAGGCACGTTTTGGGCTTTCAATGGCTAGGCAGCTAGGTGTGACACGAGTATGGCTGGAAGGAGGCTCTTCTTCAGCGTGTGAGGCAATCAACAATGGCTCCAGAGGTCGCTCATCCATTTGGTTAATTTATGATGATATTAGCTTTTTATCAGAGTCTTTTGATGCTTTAATTTTTATCACATGTAAGGAGGGTAGGTAATATATTAGCCCATCTTGTGGCAAGATGAGATACTCGTGATTGTTCTGAGTTTGTCTGCATGGGTCCGTTCCCGTAAAGTCTTGTAATTTTAGTGGATACTAATTTATAATAAAATGGTTGCCTAACGTTTTCTCAAAAAAATAAATAAAATATAAATAAAAAAAATATAAAAAAAAAAAAATTCCAAAATTTAAATCAGCCATCTTCATCTATGCCGCAACTTCTGTACTTCAAATTTGCAAGGTTGCTGATGTTCATGGTCTGACCTTAAATCAGCCATCTTCATCTCTGCCACAACCAGCTGTTATACTAACCTCAATTCCGCTCGTAATTGCACCAATAATCCAGAAAATTAGTGCACAAATATTTCTAGCAAATCCAATTGACAAAGCAAACCCTCGAATGTAATACAAACAATCTTAAATTTTTAAGAGAAATATTGAGATTAGGGGGTGTTTGGTATAGGTTTTTTAAAGGGGTGGAAACGGAATCATGTTAGTGTTTCCGTTACATTGTGTTTGGTTACGGACTAAAGTAACACAAACCGTTAGTAAGTGGTAACCATTTCCACCCAATTGTTTCCGCCGTAATGAGTGAGGAAACAGATTCTCTTTCCTTCCTTTAACACAAAAATACAGAAAACTCTTCTCCCTCCTCTTCGCTCGCTCGATTTTCTACTGCAAATCTCTAGATCTTGCTAGACGATTCTACAAGGAAAGCTGCAATTCTCCAGATCTTGCTCCTAAATTTTCAATTTTCTACTGCAAATATCAGGTTTGCTATCTTCATTTCTCTCGTTCAATTTCTAGGGTTCATGCAATATCAATTTTGCCGTTTCTGGTTTGAATTATTTACTTGCTTGTTCGATTGAATTTTTTTTTATCTTTTGTTGATTTTCTGCTGAATTTGATAGTATATAATTATATATTGCTATTATTGCTATTATTGCTATAATTGTTGATTATTGCTATACTCGCTCGACAATATACATGACTCTGATTTAGATATAATTACAATGTTGTATTTGCTAATCTGCGTGATTGGTGGAGCATTCTTTGTTGATTAACTAGATATTGATATAATTACTATGTTTTATTTGCTAATCTGCGTGATTGGTGGAACATTCTTTGTTGATTGCTGTTTATCGGGTTCAAGGGTTGGAGGTGAACTTATGAGAGGTGGATGGGGTTTCTGGTGGTGAGGATCGGTGGTGTTTTTGATTGGGTAAGTGAATGTCATGGTGATGGTGGTTTTTGGGTGAGTTTTGAAGTTAAGGATGGTAGTATATTTTACCTGGAACGCCTGGAAACGTATCAGTATCAAGTGAGTAATTCGACAATGGGATGACGAATGATTTCATCCGATTTGTGCAGTATTTGGATATTCATAATAGCTGTCAATTTTTTTTGTTTTTTTATTTTTGTTTTTCGGAAAGAGTCAAATGCAGTAGTTTTTCTACTATTAAATCTCCAATTTTATTGAACTTTCATTTAAACATCATACCATCAAGCCATCTACTTGATTAATAATGTATAATTCGTATGTATGAACTAAATGATATTGGTTATGACTTTTTTTTCCTTTATTATATGGGGGACAGGGGTTGGCTTGGGTAGATTAATTTATAAATTCTTAAACGAATGTCTAATTGGTATTGATTGCTGTTAACACACCAAATTATTTCTATCTAATTGATAGAGGATATTGCGTGCTTATTATATATATTCAACCTCTTATATGTTGTAATTGCGTGCTTATTATATAATAAATAAAATCATTTTCTAGTTTTCTATCGCAGACGATTACCTCATGTATGTTATTGCTCCATCCGGCCAAAAATCAGATTATGTTGATCGATGATGTATTTGTTTCTTGTATTTTAATGATTTTTGATGGGTAATATATTGATACTATTGTATATTTTTTGGACTAGTTTTTCAAGATTTCTACAATGCCCCGACTTATGCGTTCCTCAAGGAAGAAAAAGCTAAAACAAATACAACTAGTTATTTCAATGGTTATTATTATTTTGATGATGTATTGGATGTGGCATATGATGTGTGTTGTTACACTAAAGGGTGTTCAATTGAAAGAAAGAAAAAGAAACAAAAAGTTGCTACGAATGTTAGTTTTGAGAGGGCTTTATAAAGAGAGTGATGTGAAATGCAAGAGTGAGCTTCGCGTTAATAGAAGAACTTTCAATATTATTTGTGAGATGCTTAGAGACATTGGTGGTTTGAGTGGAACAAAAAACATGTCACTTCAAGAGATCGTAGCCATGTTTTTATACACGTTGGCTCACCACAAGAAGAATAGGTCTATTGGACAATATTTCTTTAGAAGTGGAGAAACCGTGAGCCGACAATTTCACCTTTGTCTAAGGGCTCTTCTCAAATTACACGAAGTATTACTTTACAATCCCACACCAATATTAGATGATTGTGAAGATGAAAGGTGGAAATTTTTCAAGGTATTGGTCTTTTTTAAGCCCCTAAGTTTTTCTAGGATTTTCTTATTTTTGATTGTATGTAAGTAATATTTTTTCTTATTTTTGTAGAATTGTTTAGGGGCATTAGATGGGACTTACATTAATGTAAATGTGCCTTCACAAGAACGACCAAAATATAGAACAAGAAAAGGAACAATTGCTATGAATGTATTGGGTGTTTGTGCACTCAATTTGCAATTTATTTATGTTCTTCCTGGTTGGGAAGGTTCGGCCCATGATATGCGTGTACTTCGCAATGCTCTCTCTAGACCAAACGGTTTTAGGGTACCTCGAGGTAAGTGAAGCTCATTCTTTTGTGAGTGTATAAGTTTTGTTAGTTTTGGTAGGTAGTAATCCTTTCCTTTAATAACTTTGAAGGTAATTATTATTTGGTTGATGCGGGATATACGAATTGTGAGGGTTTTCTTGCTCCATATAGAGGTCAAAGATACCATTTAAAAGAATGGACGGATCGACAACCCGAAAGTGCCGAGGAGTTCTATAACATGAAACATGCTAGGGCGCGAAATGTGATTGAGAGATGTTTTGGCCTACTTAAAGGAAGATGGAGTATTCTTAGAAGTCCTTCATTTTTCCCTATAAGAACTCATGGACGTATCGTGATGGCTTGTTGCTTATTGCATAATCTAATTAGAAAATTCATGCCTACGGATGATATAAACGAAGATGAATTGAATGAATCCGATGATGATTCCGAAAGTGATTCCGATGATGAAAGGGAATTTATTACAAGTGTTGCTACTTCGGATCATTGGACCAATTTTAGAAACAAATTAGCTCAAGATATGTTTAATGATTGGAGGGCGAGAGGAAGACATGGTCAATAGCAAAAAATGTATGATTTTTTTTACCTTCGATTATATTATAGACATGGTCATCTGCCTTCTGTTCTTTTTATTTCTAATTTGCCTACTGTTATTTCTAATCTGCCTTATGTTATTTCTAATTTGTTTAGGATGGAGGCTAGCAATCGAGGAAGAGGTAAAAATAAAAGGTATTGGACGTATGAAGAAGATGCGGTTCTAATAAGATATTTGCATGAGTTGAGTTGCGATCCGAAGTGGAAGTGTGATAATGGGTTTAAGAATGGTTACATGAATAAGTTGGAAGAGATGATCAATGGTGTACTTCCTAATTGTGGCTTGAGAGCAGTTCCCCACATTGAGTCGAGGATCAAGCATTGGTCGGAGAAATATAGTGCATTTGCAGAAATGCTATCCACCTCGGGATTTGGATGGGATGCTGAGAAGAAATTGTTGCAAGTAGACAAGGTCGTGTACGATGAATGGGTGAAGGTATGAACTGCTATTTCATTCTTCTTTGTTCATTTTTTTCAATTACACTTTAGAACTGCTGCTCTGCTGGACAGTTGTGTGTAAAGGTATGAATGGGTGAAGGTATGAACTGCTGCTGGACAGGGAGAGAAGCAGTGTGTGTAATGGAAGGGGGCAGGGAGGGGAATAGGTGATAGGGGTAGGTGCTGGACAGTTTATATATGAATTATGTACTGCTACAAATGCTCATTTTGCTTTAAATCTATACCTGGTTTCTTTGTGTTGCCATGTATGAAGCATGGCTGGTCTTTTGTGCAGGTTTTTACGAGGTTAAAAATTAGATATATGTCTGTTTTAGGGGAAGTGCTGTCAAATTTTCTGCAGATTATTCATGGATTAAAAAAAAAACCTGGAAGAGATTCAAGTGTCCTAAGAATGCAAGCTGGAATTGGAAGCAAGTGTGGAGAATAAGAGATATTATGAAATCTGGTTCTTGTGGTGATATATGGATTGATGATGCTAAAAGGCTACACTATAGCTAGTGGTTATAAGTGCAAAAGAAGCTTGGGCAGAATGACTTTTTATGTAATTTTCTTTGCTGGGGCTGTTTCTTGGGGTAAGGGGTGCTGGTGCTTTGTGTGTTGTATTGCAGTCTGCTTTGGACTGTGGTGATTATTGTTGATGATTGTTTCTATTATATTTTTTGTGGTTTTATTTTCTGTGATTAACAGTTGCCTGGTTCAGTTCTGATTTTCATGTTTTGACTTGTTGCATTCTCTTATATGGCAGACTCATAAGAAAGCTAAAGGGTTGTTTGGAGTTCCATTCATTCACTATGAAACTCTTGCGGAGATATACGCAAAAGACAAAGCTACCGGAGATGCAAGTGAGTCGTTTGTTGATGCTATAGAAGAAATGGGTCAAGTGATTGATAAGCAACCATTCAATGTCGAGAGTGATGAAGAAGATGATGTGAATTCTACTCATTCGGACACTTATTCTTCTACAAGTCAATCCGGAAAACGCCCCATGAAGATAGATGATGATCATATAACTCCTTCAAAAATGGCAAAAGTGAAGGCTTCTACAATTCATTCTTCCGCAAGTGATTCTACTACTCAATCCGGAAAACCCTCTATAAAGGCGAAGGAGACTAAGGTGAAAGGAAAGAACAAGGTAAATTTGAAGAGTTTGTGTAGGAATGATGATGATGATTTGGTGGCCTCCCTCCATGATTGTTCCAACAATTTTGGGAAGATATTTGAAAATATCAATGTTAATCTCGGGACTATGGCTAGTGCATGGTCTAAAGCGGAAGAAAGGGAGCAAAGAATGGATGAAAAGGTGAACAAGGTATTGGACGAGGTGATGAAGTTAGATGGCATTTCTCCATCCGAAGCTTTAAAGGTTGCTACTATTCTCATGGCGGAAGAATATAAGCTTCGCATCTTCTATCAAGCACCATTTAATATGAAAAAACAATATGCAATTGATCTTCTTAAGAAGAAGTAGCAACTTGAGCAATGTCTTTGTTTTTTTGTTGAACATATGCAACTTGAGCAATATAGGTTATTTTATTATTAGTCAATGTTTGGATAATTAATGAGTGTCAACTTTGCTATATATATATATATATATATATATATATATATATATATATATATATATATATATATATATATATATATATATATGCGCAATACAGGTTATTTTATTTTTTTTTTATCTTTTTTTTACCATAAAAAAATGTAGCATAGACAATATTATATTATTCATTCTTATTTTTCATTTCCGTTTGTTATACCAAACAAGAGGAAATGGAATGGTGATAATTGTTTCCGTTTCCTTTGATGTACCAAACAACTAGTAAGGGTAACACTTTTTGTTACCTTTTCCCCTCCTAATTTATTTCCATTCCGTTTCCTATACTAACTCCATACCAAACACCCCCTTAGAGTGAGAGAGTTGATTCCAATTTTAAAAAGATAAAAAAGATGAACGACAATGTGAGACGCTTGACAACAGAGTCGTTTAAACGTTACTATGATAAATTGATAAGAGTTATGGAGGGGTGGGATGATTCTTATTTATTGATTTAACTAAAAGATAGTTAGTAATTTGGTGTTTAATGATAGGTAGTCATATAATAACCTTATTATGGCACCATGTATATTATTAGAAAGTTGGGTGTCACTTTATAGAACAAATTTTTTAGACTGCACTATACACTCTCTCGTATTAATCGCAATACTTTTATTTTTCATGCATTTTATATTAACTGCAATACTTTTATATTTGGATGAAATCCACCTTTATTTTATAATTTCTCTGTTCCACTAATCTCACTTTCACAAATATTTTATTATTTCTCTTTTCTACCAACCTCATTTACACTACTTTTTTTTATTATCTCTTTCCTACCAACAATACTTTATATTATAAAAAAAAAAACTCTTTTAGGCATCTACCCTATAAATTTTCTTAAATTTTAATACGAAATAGAGGGAGTAGAATTTTTGAAACTTGAGGGGATAACGTAAAAATATTTCCCTTTTTTTTAGGCCAGAATCTAGTCATGAGTATCCAAACTATAAGCAAAAAAAAAAAAAAAAAAAAGGGGGGGGCACTCAAATGGTGAAAGATCGGATAACCCTGTCTTATATAAAACAAATAAAAAAAAAAACAAAAAAAAAAACAAAGGAAGTATAAATTTATCATAGAATTAGATATAGTCATATAGTACAACAAAATTAAGATTAACAATAGAATTGCATTGTCTGCAATTGCAAAGCCGAATAGATTTTTTTTTTTCTTTAAAAAAACTCAATCCAATAAGTTCTTTACAAACAGAAGCTAATTCAATTTTATCTCTTATTGTTGACCTGTAACTTACAACGAATTACATGAACACTTAACCTATAATACAACCTCAAAAAATGAGAAATTACTCATAAAAATGGGGAAGGTGAAAGATGCGAAAGAGGGGAATTCCATAAGAAAGAATAATGACAACCTATAGAAAACAGCTACGTAATCTGGATGCAAACATGCACATTCTAAACCAGCTGTGCAGGTAAGTCCTATGTTAGTTTGCGCCATATGGAGCCCTTTGATGCTTGTAGGCACTTAACTCTGGAGAAAACAAACCCAGCCTTAGGAGGGTTTCCACCAACGAATGAGTTCTCGTAAATTTCTTTGCATTCTTGCACAACCTGAACAATAAAAGTGAATTTTAGACATTTGAATTGCAAATAAATAGGGTTCTTGTGACTATTCAAATTCCTATGCTGACTGGCAAACAATATTTCTGTCTACCGAACTTGCTGAAACATAGAAATACTAGAGTGACAGAAGTCCCTCTCTCAAAACTTTACAAGAGGTTGACTTTTGCAACAAATTCTTTTCTCCATTAGTAGTGTCTTGAACTAAAAGTTAGACAGTAGACATTAAAAATGGAATCTAGACCTTTTTAATAAACGAGTTCTGGTACTATAGATGCTATAGCACATGTAATCACACTTGACCTGATGTAACATTTTGATCTAAAAGGGAACCTCACATAATCTTGGAAGGGAATTTTTTTTTAAGGTTTTGACGAACCACTGATAACTTGATGACTCTTCAGAATATATTAGATAAAATCAATGCTTGTAAGAGGTATTTAAATCAAAGATATACAGTCTGGCTGCAACACAGCAGAAAGCATATATGGTTTCATATTTTCCCGATAAAACCAGGTTCATATTTCTGCTATTATTTGACGTGTACACTAGGAAATGACAAGATAGACTTGCCTCTTTAGCATCTTTCCTTGGTATGCCTTCTCGCAAGCTTACAAGCTTCTCAACCACATCAGACTGCACAGAGAAATGATATAGTTTCATAAAGAACGTAGAAATGATGGATAAAATTAGAAGACTCAGTGAGATTTCAGTAATACTAGAATAGATCTTCCCCACTTTAAAAGAGAAAAAGGTTTTGGGAAACAATCAAACAAATTAGTAGTCTTACCGGGCAGTCTGGTTGATGTTCTAAGATATTTGTGTATACAAGTGTGAATGTATCAAGACTTTCAGCTGAAGCAAGCTCTCGCAGATCACTTAGTATTCTTACTCTGGATTCTACTTTCTGTAGCATAGATTAAAAAATCACAACTAAGTACAAAACCTTGTTTTCTGAAAGTTATAGAGATCACAAAAAATATATTGACATTTGGATCATATTTGATTGGAAACTTACAGACACGCTGATGTATTCCCTGAAGAAATCCATCAATACTTCTTCATCCAATCTCATTCTCTCAATAGTCTCTTCCTTAATATAATTTTTCTGCAGAAACATGGCAATGGCAAAGCCGTGAGGAAAATATAATTATATATAGTTGGAATTTATGAGACTGATAGGTATAACCAAGTCTACAGGTCATGATTGAGGAATCCACAACTCTTGGACAACCTGTGTCAAAAGATGATCCACATAGACCACTACAGTTTCTTCTAGACAGGCCTCCACAAATCTTCTGAATGATCTTTCTTCAACGTACCTATATTACAGATACAGGTGTTATAGAGATTATATACTTTAGATATAGTTGCAATATAATATACCAATGCTGAAACAAGTTAAGGACTAAACAGAGACAACTCAGAAATAATAATCTCTCTTTTTTTTTTTTTTTTTTTTTTTTTTTTTTTTTTTTGGCTTGAGCCAGTAGCACTGATATGAACACCATAAGAAAGAAATTGAATTATTCCGCTAATTGAGAAAAGTGAGGTACAATTTATGATAGATCAACCACCACAGCACAGCAACAGAAGAACTTATCTTTCATTGGAATGTGCGAGTCTAAATTAATGTTAATAGTAATTACATCATGTTTCTTAAGACCCTCTAGCTCTATATCATCCCATTCTGTTTTCAGCTGAATGGGATTCATGCTTGATTCAGCTTAAAAGTATCTAGCACTGCACGGAGATTCTAAGTGTGTTTTTTTCCCCAGCATTGTCAGGGAACTGCTAAGATTTAAATTCTCATGGCACAAATCATCAAAGCTAATGCTACAGGAATTTGCAAGACTGCTTGTAGAGGTTAAAAGCTTGATGAAGCCAACATGGGATGGGATGCTCATTTCATTTTTAACAAATTGACCCTGCAGCCTCAAAAAGGAGTTGCAGACCACATATATACTACCTTCGTTTCTTATTATTAGCAACGATCTGACATAAAGTGTGAGTAGAAAATGTCTAATTGTTGCAAATAATATGAAACGGAAGTAGTACATTTATTAACAGCCTATTAAGAACGATATACCACTACAGTAAAGAGAGATGATGACAAAGGATCTCCTTTCAATGATCCATGAGACAGAAAAAGGAATCCTCATCCTACTTCTTCACCACCCAACAATCCTTGAGCTTTCGAGTACCACATAAAAATCGTATTCTCCATGTGTATGTCTTCTAATGGTAGAAATTAAAGATAACCCTCATTCTCTTTCAATAAAGCCTAATTGCCACTGTTCGAATGTCTGGATACTTGGAACGTGTATCAAACTCTTTCCTAACACATGCACAACCATGGCTTGAACAGAGAGTGCACTCTTGCCTATTGGCACACAAGTGTGAGGACTTGGGTGTGCTTTACAAGAGCTTAATGAGCAAAAGCGGATTGAGTAGGCTAGCTGGACTTTGCTAGTGCAACAATTTTAAATGTTTGAGTTGGCTTAACAAACAAGGTTACACAATGTTCGAGCAACAACTCGAGTTCTTGGGTGTGAATCTAACACCAGGCCACAAAGAGGTCTAATCACAAGATAGCTTATTTTCAAAAGAAACAATAATATAGTAGTAACATCATAAAGCATGTAAAGCAGCAGCAGGTCACAAACAAGGGTTATGATAAGAAGCTTAGATGTCATTCATCAAGAAGTCACAAAGAGGCGAGATTTTAAGATAGCCTATTCGTGTAGGTAATACTGAACAATAGAATCATAATGCATTTAAATTAGCACCAGGTCATAGCCAAGGGTCAAAAACACAACACAGGAAGAACCAAAATATATGCCTTGAGAAATTAAGGGATTAAAACCTTTAAAATATAATCTTAACAATGGAAAGATAGGGTGGATTCTAACACTAATTAACTGCATTATTGACCACACGAGACCCATATAAGGTAGTCAAAACTTGAAACTCGAACTAAATGTTCTTTTACATCTTTGTCCTCTTTAGATAATTCCATTCCACTAAATAATAGCCTTCCCATTATCTTGACCTCAACGATTAATACAACGACTTCTACTAGAATATACCATTACAATAATTGTTAATTTTCTGAGACACCATTCTCAACTTTCAAACTGTTCAAGGTCTGAGTGTGCCCGACAGCCTTAAGTGATTCAAGATCGATAATCACAAGCTTAATTAGAAGAAAATTCAACCAAGGACAAGTGAATTTACAAGCTATTAGAAAACAGGATTGGTTTTCACTGCAATGCTACGTAACTACAAGCA